TTGGTATCCATATGAGTCCTGGAACCAAACTCCAGATGATACCATGGGCCCGCTGTATATTATTTACCTATTCATTTTTTAAAAATGTGAACTGTTCGGGGGTGGAATTAATTAGGAAGTTATTTTTTGAAAACACACCCTAAACTGTAACTAGCCATTAAGAGAACTTGTTTCCACTTCCCCTGTTCCTGTACAGGCACTCAGCTGTCTATCTGCCCAAATAATGGCCAACGTCATCTTTTCCTAACAACCAGCTTAACTCCTTATCAATAATACCTGCAGGCTATGAGGTACAAGAATAAATGCTGGTATCCTTTGCCTCGGGGTTGGGAAGTCTGGCCTTTAAAATGTCATGCTATTACCAGCTTTCACTGTCTCTCGTCACTGACCAGGTTGTTTGAACCTGTTCGGAGTTAAAATCTAACATGTGGAGGGTCATAGGCTCTCCCGTCGCCCTTTATATTCAGCTTCTGGATAAAAACAGTACACATTTTCACAGTTTAGTAGCTGTTTGCATCCAGATTCAATATGCAACATTGTATCAGCTTGGACTTAACTAAGTAACTTCTCCTGAGCAGATTCCCCCAAACTTGATGGAAACATAATTCACAGATATGCTGATCGTTGGAAGAATGGATCTCCAACACCTCACACTCAATAAATTAGGTTGTGGGTCAAGTTACGATCATGGCGAAAATGTCCAAGTATGTCCAAAATGTCTAAGAAGGCAATTGTGAATATTAAACAGTTACCTAATTGTAATGGTTTCATATTTAGGATAGCTGCTTGGACACAATTTTTATGGAAACATAGAATTATAGAAACATAGAGTTGGAATAAACCCTGTGGTCCATCCAGTCCAACCCCCGCCAAGAAGCAAGAAATCACATTCAAAGCACCCCTGACAGATGGCCATCCAGCCTTTGTTTAAAAGCCTCCAATGAAGAAGTCTCCACCACACTCCAGGGCAGAGAGTTCCACTGCTGAACAGCTCTCACAGTTAGGAAGTTCTTCCTAGTGCTCAGGTGGAGTCTCCTTTCCTGTAGTTTGACACTATTGCCACAACCATAACCTCCCTCCCCATAACCTACTTTACTGGGTGCCAGCTACATGGGGAAAAGACAATCCATTCTTCCAGTGATCAGAACATGACTGAATTGACATTTCCACAAAGTTTGGGGGGAGTCAGGATGGAAGAAGTTGCTCCATTAAGTAATTAGTAAAATATAAGCTGACTCAGGATTCCAGCCATTTCTAGGCCTTGCTATGGTATCATGTAAGTAGCATTCCATTATTTGTAATGGTAGCAAATCTTAAGCCTCTTACTTACTAAAATATAAGCCTTTGTTGAAAGAGAAAACAGTTAAGTGCCCTCAGGGAAAGGACAATCCGTTTAAAAACAAAACAAAACTGGCAGCATTTTTATGACAAGGTAATTTTCCCAAAGGGCTGGGCTAAAAGAAAGTTCCAGGGTACATTTTATATATATTGAGAAAATAAATGTTAATGAACCTAGTTTAAGCTGTTGCTTCCCAAAGAGTGATAGCAGAGCACTGGCAAAGGAAAGAAGTTATAACTTTTGACTTGTGAAAAACTGTTTTCCCCTCCCTCAATTCTAATTAATTTATTGTTAGAGAGAATATACATTTAGAGTCAGATTGATCTCCTGGGTCTTTTCCTCCAGTTGGTCTCCAATGAGCTGGTATGTTTCTTTTAGAACCTCATCATGTTAGGAGGCAACCAGGAACACATTCATATTCAAAGATTACAGAATGTTTTAGTTACATGATCAAAATCATTTATAGAAATCAAGTAAAACAAATTGAAAAAAACAACACTTTCTAGCAGTCTTATTCTTTGTACTACATCAAACATGTTCCAGATGTACCAAGAGCAGGGCCCTGTAACATTTTGAAGTGGAAGTGACTACGTTTATAAGATCACGCGGTGGTGACATCAGCCACTCTTTTCATCATCTGCCCCTATCTATAAAATTTCCAGTTGCCAAATGGATAGTGGTGATCAGCAGAACCGCAGGCAGAAATAGCATACCTCCTTGAGGAAATGTTATAGCATTCGTTCAAAGGTATTGAATATGGGAGGAAAGCAAGATTGTGTGTTATGGCATAAGTCTAACAGTGTGCTTGAAAATGTATTTTATATTTGCTTATAAAAATAAATAATGAATCATAATTCCAAGTCTAATAGTATTTATATACAGCGTTCCCTTGCTATTTCAAGATAACTAGCAAAAAAAGGTATGTAGTGCCTTTAAATCTCTCCTAGCTTCTGCCTCACTCTTGGAACGCTATATACATATATAGCGTCCCTACTTCGTGGATTTTCACTTTTCGTGGGTGGTCCTGGACCGTAACACCCACGATAAGCGAGGGAACACTTTATTACTGGACATATATTACTGGTGGCTGACATTTGAAAGTTTGTTTTCAGGCGGAAATGGTGCCCAACTACTAGTTAAATGTGTCTCAAGAGAGAAATGGGATGGCACAGGATGAGTTTGTTGAGCTGGAGTCTATTCCACAGAATGTAGGTAATGCTCCTGGACAATTCAGAAGGTAACCCCTCCCCACAGGCTGAGTATCTACAGTCTCCTAAGAGGTGGCAATAGGAGGCAAGAACTGAAGGCGTTGTATGACCCTGCCAGCCAATTGCTGAGACCATCTTATTTCTGAGACCGCTTTGCCTCATGGGGTGGAAATCCAACAGGAGTAACTTTCCATGTTGCGCCAAGAGCAAGGGAGGAGAACCTGTTATGGTTCAAGCATATATTTGCAATTGCATTGGTGAAGCAATAGCACTCTTTGGCAAAGACCTTGTAAAACCACAACTCCCATGATTTCATAGCATTAGGACATGACTGTTAAAATGGCATCAAACTGCATTAATCCTACAGAGTTGATACCCTCCTAGTTTGAATATGCGCCAAGAGTAGAAGCCACATGGCCAGCACCTAGAGACTTTTGCAAGGCTTAGAAATGCATTTAGACATTGTGAAATGGCAGTTAAAACCTCTTGCTTCTACCTAATAGCTCCTGGCAACTAACCATATCTTAATATATGGTTGGCAGTATTGCATTTTATATGTGTGTGTTTAAGTATGTTGTACCCTGTACTGAGCTGAGCCCTGAGGGGAGGTGGATAATAAACAAATTATTATCTATATAAATAAAAGTGAAAATATGTATGTATGTATCTATGCATTTTGCAGGATGGCTGCCACATCCAAAGAGCTGCATAATGGCCAGCAATGATGGAAGTGGACCAAACTTGGCAGGCAGACCCATCATGGCCGACTTCACATACTGGCGGTGTTTGTGGAGGATGGACACAGGAGCATGGGAATTGTAGCCCACTTGCATCCAGAGAGCCCTTTGGACCGCAGCTTCGATGGATCTGGACCAGGCATGGGCAAACATTACCCTTCAGGTCTTTTGGACTTCAAGTCCAAAACACCTGGAAGGCTGAAGTTTGCCCATGCCTGATTGGACCAAACCTGGCACACATACTCAACTTCACATACTGGGAAGGGTTTTTTTTTTTGGGGGGGGGGGGAGGTTGAGAGAGGATGATGGGAGCTGTCCACCCACATGAAAAGACCCATGTGTTTTGAACATCCATACAGCCACATGTCTCATTAATGCAGTGGTCCCCAACCTGTGGTGTGTGGACCACCAGTGGTCCGCAAGAACTAAAATATGGTCCTTGGTCTCACTGTTACTACACCATTGCAATGAGAGTGACTGGTCTCGCGAAACCCTCTTATAGTGTTGAGGCTTATTAAATATGGCAAACAGATGGTGACTACTGGATGGCATACGTTCTGTATCAGAAATTAGAGCTGATTTGGTCTATCCAATGCAATTTTCTAAATCAACACTGTAATAACCAAAATGAATCTAAAGTTCACCAAAAACTGCCTTGTAACCCTTTTGGGTTAATGTTGGAGTGTGGTCAAAGTGGTCCCTAGTCAAGTGTTCCCTGGGCAAAGTGGCTCCTAATCAAGTGGTTCCTGGGAAAAGTATTTCCTGGTCAAGTGGTCTCTGGTCAAAGTGGTCCCTGGTTAAGCAGTCACTGGTCAAAGTGGTCCCTGGTTAAGTAGTCACTGGTCAAAGTGGTCCCTGGTCAAAGAGATCCCTGGCTAAGTTTTTTTTTGTCGTGTCAGGAGTGACTTGAGAAACTGCAAGTTGCTTCTGGGTGTGAGAGAATTGGCCATCTGCAAGGACATTGCCCAGGGGACACCCGGATTATTTGATGTTTTATCATCCTTGTGGGAGACTTCTCTCATGTCCCCGCATGAGGAGCTGGAGCTGATAGAGGGAGCTCATCTGCCTCTCCCCGGATTCGAACCTGCGACCTGTCAGTCTTCAGTCCTGCCGGCACAGAGGTTTAACCCACTGCGCCACCGGGGACACCTGGCTAAGTCATACCTGGTCAAAGTGGTCCCAGGTCAAAATGGTCTCTGGTCAAGTAATCCTTGGTCAAAGTGGTCCCTGGTCAAAGTGGTCCCTGGTGGAAAAAAAGTTTGGGAACCACTGCTTTAATGGGATCAGTTATAAAATCCAAAACCAAACAATGATGACTTATTACAACAATAGTAGGGAAAGGAGGAAACCGCAGAGTGGAGAGGGAGGGCGAGCGACGCTGACCACCGCCTCCTTAGTTCGGGAGGGGAGGGGCTCCTGTCCCGGCCAGGCCTTCCCCACACTTCCCTCCCTCCCTCCCTCCCTCCCACATTTCTGCCAAGGAAAGCCGGCTCTGTATTGGCGCGAGGGGGAGAGCCCTCCCTGCTAGCCCAAAACGGAGAGGGGCAGGGCTGCCAGGTGCGGGGCGAGGGGGGAGCCCCTTCCGAACTCTCGGCTGGCGGGGGCGGGGCCAGGCCCGGCGCTTCCTCCCTCCCTCCCTCCCTCCCTCCCCCTCCTCCTCCTCCTCGCGGGGCGAGGGCGGGCCATGCGTGGGCTCCTCCCCCTGGGCGGAGTCGGGCAGCGGACCCAACAAGTCGGGCGCCGGGGAGGCTCAGGTGTTCTTGGAGGAGCGCCTCACTCACTCTCTCACTCCGCCTCTCGCGGTCTTCCTTCTCTCTTCTGCCTCCGACGCCCGAGCCATGTTGCCCGCCGCCGTCCGGAGGTGGCTCCACAAACCGAAGGTGAGGCGGGGTCTCTAGAAGCAGGGGCTGAGGAGCAGGGGGGAACGGGGCGCGCGCGGGGGGGGGGGAGTTTCCTCCCCTCTCCCTTTGGCCCCGAAGTGCAGGCCTGCGCTCGGAGGGAGAGGCGCTCCCTCCTCGCGCCCACCCTCCTCGTTTCAAGTGGAGCCTTTGTGGGAGCGGCTCCCTTTCTTCACCCCCTTGAGAGGCAGAGAGTTGAGGTCACTCGAGTTCTCTTTTCCCGCGGAGACAAAAGAATGGAGGCACTTCGACGCCTCAAAGGATGGGCTCCTGCGGGGAGTTGTCACTTGGGGAGGCGGAGAAGGCGCCAGGCTTTGTCAAGGCACAACTCCGCGAAGAAGCGGGACCCGGGACTCGCTCGGGCTCTGAGCGCCGCTGCTGCCTTTGTGTACGTGACTCGGCGTTTGTTTCCTCGCCCCTTGGTCCTCTCCCTTCTCCCTCCCTCCCTCGCTCCCTCCCTCGTGTCTTCCTCCACCTTGGTGCGCCTTCAGACGCGCAGGGCCGGTGTGTCCCGCGTGGAGACCCGCCGCCGCCGCCGCCTTTGGTCCTTGCCTTCCTTCCTCCCTTCTATCTTCCGAGCCGGGGCTTTCCTCACTCGGGGTTTCCTTGGGATGTCCCGCGCCTTTTCTCAGCAGCAGCCCTCCGATGATGTCACCCGGTTTCCTAGTTATCAGTTCAGCCAAGTTCCTTATCTTCTCACTCGGGGTGTGTGTGTGTCTCTTCCCGTCGCCGGTCGCCTTGCCGAGCGTCTCATCAAGTTTCCTCCTCACACTCGAGAAGGAAGCCACTTTAAATCCCATTTCTGCCTCCTGCAGAGTTCTGAGGTTTGTAGTTTAGGGAGGCTGTTAAAGGCTCCTCCCTAAACTACAAACCCCACCATTCTGCAGGAGGCAGCAACCGGATTTAAACTGGAGGTCCTATAAGCAAGGGATGGCTCGCTCGGAGGGAGCTTGGTCATGGCTTTTCCCCGAAAAACATCCTGGCATTCCTTTGTAGTCCCCTAGAAGGAAAGGCTGGCCAGGCCTGATCCTTCTTAGCTTCCTAGATCAGAAGGGAGGGGGTGCCTTCAAAGTGTAGAAAAGTTGGTGCAGTGGGTCCGCCCTCTGCACCCAGGAGTTCTGTTCCCACAGCTTGAAATTCTACTTTAAAAATCCACCCAAATAGTGACTCTACCCCCACCAGAAAACAAAGAAACCAACAACAACAACAACAAAACCCAAAAAAGCAAAAAACCCCAATGTACCACTGTATCTTAATTTTTTTTAATGTCAGGAGCAACTTGAGTAACTGCAAATCATTTCTGGTGTGAGAGAATTGGATGTCTGCAAGGACGTTGCCCAGGGGATGCCCAGATGTTTGATGTTTTACCATCCTTGTGAGAGGCTTCTCTCATGTCACTGCATAAGAAGGTGGAGTTGACAGATGGGAGCTCACCCCACTCTTCCCAGATTCAAACCGCTGACCTATCAGTCAGTGGTCCTTCCAGCACAAGGATTTAATCCAATGGTTCCCAACCTTTATTTGACTGGGGACCATTTTGACCAGGGACCACTCTCTCCAACATTAGTACCAAAAGGGGCGGGTTTGGTCAGCTTTGCAGAAAGGAGCGGAAATACAATAAAGTGGAAGGAGATTGATGGATCGGATTTTCGTTATCGCGGCCCACTGCTGGGCCACGGACCACAGGTTGAGAACCATTGGTTTAACCCATTGCACCACCATGGGCTCCATCCTAATAGTTGAATTAATATCAATAGGTCTTTAATATCTGCTGGAGCTTGGTTCAAAAAAAAAACTGCACGGTTATGAAAAAACCATGGATGCCCAGGTTCCATCATCTTCAGTGGTATGGTAAAATTGTGTCATTATATAAAATGGCAAGATCCAGGTTTGTCTCTTGGTAGAGTTTGTCAAAATATGGGAAATCAATGGACATATAGATGGAGAATCAATGGATACAGAGAACTGGTTGCATTGAGTTTAAAAGACTCATTTTAAAAGTGTGTAACAAGGTGCCCAAAAACAGTATCTGTGGAAATTATCATATAGTAGTGCATGATTTTGTATTAGAAATCCCAAAATCCCCCAACAAAATAGCCACTGAACTAAATGGGTAATACCAGGAGTTACAGCCACCTGAAGTAACTTTTCCAATCTCCATAATTAAAATAAAAGCAAAATTAGGTGGAGACGCGAAGCAGATAAGCAATGTTGCTTTGATTTCAGAAGGCACTCAACAATAATGATGTGGGAATGGCAGTGTCCCTGTCTCAGTTTCTGTGAGGGTTGTGTGCTCAGTTTGCAACACTGGGCTTGACACCAGTTGCTTAGGAGGGTGAGATCTGAGTAACTGGGTGGAGCTGAGAGTGCTGAAGCATGTGTGAGAGTTGCTGTTATGCCATCCCAGCCTTTTGGAAGGGTGAGATTGAAGGTGTGGGTGAGCACAACCGGCTTTGCAGGGAGAATTATTGTCTCTTGGCTGACGGGAGGTTGGCTTCCTGCTGACTTGTTTATGACTCACCTTCCACTCAGCCAAGTACACTAAGGTGTAATTCGGGGAGTGTGTAAACAGAACTGGAGTTTCTTGCTGTTGTCTAGGGCAGGGGTGGACAGATGTCTACTCTGTAAGGGTCCTTTTTGTATTAGGGTGGGCCTATATGCTAAGGAACCAGGTGTCTCTGAGCACATCCTCAGCCCAGGTATTTATGGTTGGAATCAAATTGACACATCATTTCACACATGCGTCTCTCCCATTTCCTCACAAATGTTGCCATTAGGCTGTTACTCATCCTGCCATAGATTTCAGTGTATCTTCTGCCCACCCTGGTCTCGGGGATTTGCAAATCAGTTTTATATGCCAGAACAGAAATGTATCTGAACATCAGATGTCATGTTTTGGGGGAGCCTTGCTTTCTGATATGTCTTTTGTCTTATGCAAAGAAGGAAGTCCATCTATATTTATAGAGGTGGATTTTAAATGCAATTCATACTTCAGATAATTATTCATGAATGGAGCAATAATATTTGAATGGGCTGGAGTTTAAAGAAAACCTGGGCACAGCCTACAGATAGCTGAATGGGAACATATGGAATCCCATGCTTCAGAATGTGCCTGAGTCCATGTTTGACACTCAAATATTTAAAGCTGAAATAGTAAAGACCAGCATATATCGAGATGGCATATAAAAACTGCTTCAACAATGAGAGCGAGTATAGTGTAATGAGCATTGGACTACAGTTCTGGAGGCTAGGGTTCAGATCTCCACTTGGCCATGGAAACCCAGTGAGGGTTTTTTTTTTTTTCATGTCAGGAGCAACTTGAGAAACTGCAAGCTCCAGGATATTTTGATGTTTTACCATCCTTGTGGGAGGCTTCTCTCATGACCCTGCATGGGGAGCCAGAGCTGACAGAAGGAGCTCATCCGTGCTCTCCCCAGATTCGAACCTGTGACCTGTTGGTCTTCAGTCCTGCCAGCACAAGGGTTTAACCCACTGCACCACCAGGGGCTCCAATCCAGCGGGTGACCTTGGACAAGTCACATTCTCTCAACCTTAGAAGAAAGCAAAGGGAACTCCCTGGCCGACCGACTCAAGAAAACACTGTGGTAGATTCACCTTAGAGTTTTCCATAGGTTGGAAATAACCTGAAGGCACACAACAACAACACTAAAAATAACCTAACATCTCTGGGGACTGAATGCTCTCTCTCTCTCTCTCTCTCTCTCTCTCTCTATGTGTGTGTGTGTGTGTGTGCGAGAGAGAGAGAGAGAGAGAGAGAGAGAGAGAGGAACAGAAGAGAACGAAAGGGGAAACCAATTACTTTCAAGTTGTTTTCGATTTATGGTGACCCTATGAAAGAGAGACCTGCAGGTCACGCTGTTATAAATAACGCTGCCCATGCCTTGCTAATTCTGGGCAATGGCTTTATTGGCTGAAGCTTCCTTGAATCCTGTCCTGGAAGAAAGGTCCGGTGTAATAAATAAAATATATAAACAGAGACTTTACACATGTAATGCAGTCTTCTTCTTTTCCTACTGTCTTCCACCCTACCAAGCATTGTTGTCTTTTCTAGTGAACCATGTATTTCCATGACCAAAATATAGCGTTTCAGGGCCCTTCCAGACAGGCCTTATATTACAGAATCTGATCCCAGGTTTTCTGCTGGATTATATAAATCTGTGCTGCCAGATAATCTGAGATAAACAGAAAACCCGGGATATAGGGCCTGTCTGGAAGGACCCTCCATTTAGTCATCTTAACTTTTAGAGAATTCGGGTTTGAATTGCTCTGGGACCCATTTATTTACCTTTTTGGAAGTCCACGGTATCGGTATAATATTTCTCCATCATTATGTTTTCAGTGACTGTTCTTGCTACTTTTTTCACTGAAAATATGATGATATGAGTAATCCAGACTTTGGTATTTAATAATGCATATTTATTTATTTATTTGCCATATTTTTATCCCGCCTTTCTCAACCCCGAAAGGGACTCAAGACGGCATTACAAAGGCAACAATTCAATGCCGCATGTATATATAGATCAATGAATAAACAAAAACATTAAAACCAACCCATTTATACTTCAGGATCCTGTCTAGTTTCTTCATAGCTGCCCCTGACTACATTCTGATTAATGGCTGAACTAAGGTTTCGAAAATCTTTTAACTATTCCATTTTCCTCATTGTCTACTTTTAAATGACGTAAATAATCTAGCTGGGACTAATACTTCATTATAGGCCCTGAATACGTTATATGTCTTTCAATGCTGTGAAACAAGAAAACTTCACAAATCATTGTATATAATTATTATCTTGATATAGTTCCAACACTGTTACAATTACATTTTGATCAACACAAACAAGAGCTCACGTGTATCTCCAGCCTTCTCTTTAAATTCTAGTATTTTGATTGCACAGATTTAAAAGTCGTGGGAATCCTTCACACAGTTGCATAAGACAGACACAGATTACTCATCTGTGT